AGCCACAAGTGTAGACATAGCCCTACAGTTTTGGTCTTCCTTTCTCTACCCTAACTGCTCATTTCCTGGACTGCTTCTTACTTATTTACTCTGGTCAAAAGCTTTGTTGTTTGCAGCTTAATGAGCTGATGGGGCCCACTTGGCCTAATTCAGCTCTTGCATGGCTTTTATTGGAATCTCACCCCATCACAGATGCACCTCCAAAGGAATTGAATAATCTGGGAACCAAAGCTATTTTCACTGTATCTGATCTTCTGAATAGCTGACATTTTCACACATACCAGAAGCTGTGCTGGAGTACAGGTGTAAATTGTAAAGTTGTGTGTGGAGAGAGGGAGGGGTTAACGCTGAAAATGGCTGAAAATTTAAGACTTGGCTGGTAACAGACCACAAATCCCTGTGGTAAGTGATGCTATTCTAAACAAAAAGTTCTCTCAACTATGCTTCTAGCTGTTCTCAAATTCCACAGACATTCAAAGCATCAGAATGCCATTTGGAACTCTTGTGTGATCTGGTTGTGTTAATTTGTGTGCGTGGAAGGTTGTTTTTACACCAGAAGTTGCATGGATTTGTGCAGATGGTGACTGAAGCAGTCTGTCTGCTATCGCAAAGAAGCTGTGTGTGCTCGGGGTTACAATGTGTGTAGGATGGGCTGATTTGTGTTTAAGGAAGGTTGTGCTGGGGGGACTAGTATTGATTTGTGCAGGTGGTAGTTAGGCATTCAGGTGTGGTGGCTGGGTCAAGTAATCCACCATCTGTGCACTCTCCCTCATACAGCCAGTTAAAATGTTGCATGCAAATGATCTGTAAAGTGAGAGTGAGGATTGACTGAGTTACCGCTGGTCTCTTGCTGATTTAGGACTCTTGGCATGGCACAGACATGTGCCTTACTGTAGCTGTACACTGCATGAGTGTCATTTGTAAGGTCAGAACAGTTGAGAACTTAAAAACTGGATGGCACCGGCCTATGAAACCCCATGATACTTCAGCCAACTGCCAGTCTGCATAAAAAGAACTCTCAGACGTACTTGTAGCTGCTGTCATTGCTTCACACTGACTCAACACACCCCGTGGGCTTCAGAAGGAAGGAAAATCATAGTATATAGATTATGGTGGCAGCAGGGGAAGTGCCAGGAAAACAGAGGGAATGGGAATGCCAAGTGAGCTAAAACAAAGGTGTCAGACTTGTTCAGTGGAGAGGGCCACATTCCATGATTAGTTATAGTCTGTGGATCAGCATGTACATTAAGGACTGTATAGCCCCTTCTCTCGTCAGCAGACTGCCTGCTGAGATCAGTGGGCAGTTGGCATGAAGATGGAGGTTAGACTCTGACCTTCCTATAGTATCTAAACATCCAATTGCTGTTCTTTATTAGTTGCTTTAGTATCACATTCCATATTATTCAAATGCTCTTCCTGCCCTTTGTTTCTCTTCCTTCCCCATCCTTCCTTCTCATCATCTTCTTTGGTTTAGTGTCTCCTCTGTCCTTCCGGCGGCATGTCCTTTCCTGTATCGATTCACAAGTCTTCCTCATTCCAGGGCTACTTTCTTATCCCTCCCCCACTCTGTGATGATCAGCAAGGCAGTAGTGACTGTTGCCATCCTGGTATCATTTTAGTTGACACTCCAATGAATTGACCATGGGACCCAGGAGTTCATGCCTCTCTGAGCCTTTAATGGAGGCTGTTGACAGGCTCAGAAAGGCAACCCTGCTTCAGTTTACTGTCCCTGTACTTAGGGCATGTCTTTGTACCATCTCTGAACACCATTGGCCTAGAATATGCAGGAAGTGTTCTGCTCACAAAGCAGCAGTGCAGCGGGTACTATTTGCTTTCCTCCTCCCAATCCGTTGGTCCCTTTTCTCATGGAGGCTATGGGTTTGCAACCCCATTATTTCCAATCTGGGGAGCAGCAGCTACAATCCTATGGTATATTTATTTGGGCTTCTCAGTCAACACAGGCTTTCTTTGTGGCTTTTATATTGGTTCTGTGGCGCTGTTTTCAAACAAGGCCATTTCTCCTGACCACAGGCTTGTGGTCTACTCTTGATAGCACTCATGTGCAAACAGCATGTCCCCCAGGACGGTAATGCAGCACAAAATGGATGTTTAACTGGAGCTGCTGTCCTAGGAGCGGCTGAATTACATTACACTTTAGCATAACAAACAGCTGATGTCAGCAGTGGTCAGACCAGGGCCTTGTTTATTTGAGTTAAAATTTTACATGGCTCTTTTTGGTAGCAGAAGAGTGAAAAGGAGCTCAGTATCTGAGCCACAGGCATTCTCCTTCCTTTCCCATCACCCCAGGGGCTACGCCAAGATGGTATACCCCATCTTTGCTCTGCCTTGCAGCCACATACATCTTCTGCTAGTTGCTAGTGGAAAGGGGATGGAAACATAGTAGGAAGCTGGGTGAAACTGAAATGAAGTTCTCTAGTCTTGAACTGATGGGATCCCACTTTGCATGGAAATATTTATCTTTCCTGTAATAAACAATTTAGGGCTAGAATTGTGCACTTCATTCCAGCCCCCTGATGTCACTAGGATTGCATGAGTAGAAATGAGAGCAGAACTGATTTCCTCTGGCTTAAAAGACTGAGTAAGTCATTTGGTAAACTGGTCACTAGAGGAGTATGAGAGGGGAAAAAAGTGCTTTGTTAATAAGGACTATTAACATTAGAAATGTCTCTTCAATGGGTTTTAAACTGTATAATTAGTGTTCTGTGTCACAGAATCGGTGACTTTCTGTGACTTCTGCAGCAGCCCTCCAGTCTGGACCTGAGAACCGCCTGTCCCCAAGGTGGTTGGAACAGCTGCTGCTTGGTGACCCCCTGCAGCTGGTGCCACTGGCCCCAGGTCCCCTTAGCAGTGCCTTCCCCAGTTGCAGCCCCTAAGTGCCCCTCAGCAGCAGCCTCCCAGTATTTAGTCAGGACTCTTTCTAGTCTAGTCATGGACAGGCCAAGAGGCATGGCTTTTTGTTTATTGCCAGAGATCTGTCCCTAACTTCTACTAAAATTACCTGACTAAATCATAGCCTTATATGTATTTTTTCTAAATACAGTACATGGTTTTGTTGCAGCTTTAGCAGCCTAAGCCCCAAAATATTTCTGTTGGAGAGGCAATATAGGCAGGAGGGACACTTCCCTTGGTTACCCAGGCTTGTGGAACACCTTGCTAACATCTGCTTAGGGTGAGGAAGCTTTGTACCTGGCTGCCAGGGGTCAGCTCCCTAACCCAGGCACCACAAACACTCTGTTCTCAGCCTACACAGGCCCCATTGGCTCTCTACAGGTTAGCGATAGGCACACCAAGCCCTTTGAGCTTCTTCCTGAAATATCCGGACCCCGTTCCACTAGACACTTGCTTCCTAAGAAACAGAACACCCCAACTTACCTGTTCCATAGCTAATCACAGCTCCATTGAACACATGGCACTTCACTAAACATTGTTTAACAAAGTTTAAAGCGTCAAGTAAATAGACAACAAAAGCAGTGGGACCAAATGGTTACTATGAACTAAAATCATGTCACACACTCTAGAGCTGAGACTCAATTAACAAGATATGCTTGTGTCTAATACACTATGGCTGTGTCTAGACTGGCCAGTTTTTCTGGAAAATCAGCAGCTTTTCCGGAAAAACTTGCCAACTGTCTACACTGGCCGCTTGAATTTCCGCAAAAGCACTGTCTTCCTCCTGTAAGGAATCAGTGCTTTTTGGAGAAATACTATGCTGCTCCCGTTCGGGCAAAAGTCCCTTTTGTGCAAGACTTTTGCACAAAAGGGCCAGTGTAGACAGCTGAGATTTGTTTTCAGCAAAAAAGCCCCGATCGCGAAAATGGCAATGGGGGCTTTTTTGCGGAAAAGCATGTATAGATTGGTACTTTTGCGGAAAAGCGTCCGTGCCAATCTAGACGCTCTGTTCCAAAAATGCTTTTAGCGGAAAACTTTTCCGTTAAAAGCATTTGCAGAAAATCATGCCAGTCTAGACGTAGCCTATTGCTCTTCAGCACTTCACAGCAAAGGTGCTTGTGACCCCTTTTCATGAGATGCCGATGGTGGTGGGTGCCTCTTCAGTGCAGGATAAAATCATGCCCATCTTTCCCCCCCCCCTTTTTTTTTAAAGGCATTAGAGGCTATTTGATCTCCTCCCCCCAGTTTTTGGAATCTGATCCTCGGGTTCCTTGGGTCTTGATAAATCCTCAAGCCTGTATCTGGGTCAAATGGTAAACATAGGCTGGGTTTACAGATGTCCAGTGTTCTATACGCTGATTGAGTTAGCCCACAGGCTCTCCCAACTCAGTTGACAAAATTAACTTTAACTGTTTGGGATTCTAATCTTTTCCATTTTACGCAATGCAATCTATTTTCTGTACAACCACTTTGCAATGACAGTTTGACAAGTGGTCTACTAGCTCTTGAAGAGACCTCATTTGCCACCCTTTGGGTACTTTCTGTACAACCACTTTGCAATGACAGTGTGACAAGTGGTCTACTAGCTCTTGTAGAGACCTCATTTGACACCCTTTGGGTACCTATTATGTAGCTATCAAACCCAGGGGATTTCTGGAACACTCTATGCATGCCCTCTGCCAGTCGGTACCTAGAAGTCCCTGGGTCAAAACAGGTCAGTCTCCATTGGTAACGTATTGTAACTACCTAGGGCTAAAGGGCCAGGTTCTTCTTAATGGCAGGGCTTCATCCATGGTACTCTTAGAGATGTTCTGTGGGTCTTTTCCTGTTTAGTAAAGTTTCTCTATGACCCATTTTCATCTCTTGTGACCAGCATTCAAGGTCACTGCTTCCACCAGCACCAGGAGGCAGGAGATGGCTAGCCAATGAGTGTGCATTCTGATGCTATCATGAGCATAGTTTTGTATATGTGGGAAAGTTTTTTCAGTATATGTTTTTCTGCTATAACTATACCTAAAGAACGTGCCCACTCTACACCCCATTGTTTATGCGGACTTAAGCTACTGCACATGTGAATTATTGGGCCCACACAGGTTGGTGTTTTCTAAAAAATCGCCCAGCATTCTGGGCTGACATCTCAAGGTACAGAGCTATCCAGAGGCGAGCTAGTAACTGCAAGTTGTCCTTACAGGGCAGGATGTGAGGTTAAGGGCAATCCTGTGAAAAAAGGCAGCACACAAAACCAGAAGACATGCAGTGTTGTTGTCTGTTAAGAGGGTTGCCTAGCCTGTCAAATGATAGAAGGGTGGTAATGTTATACCTCCTGTATGGGCAATCCTGAGAAGGCCTCATTGCTTTGCATTGTGCATGCCAGAGAAGAGCATTATCTGTACCTTACAAGCTGTTTTATCATAGAGTTGCTGATCACCACAAAGCAAGACACATTTGGGCATAACTGGTCTGATCCCATTTTGCTGGGGGGAGGGGGAAGGGTTACCAATGCTGAGGGCCCGATGAAAGATATCCATGGGCTTCTGTAAGTTGAACAGCCATGAGTGCCTTTAGAATCTCTATGCATTAAGGCAGCTCTTTGTAGCCTCATTTAGACAATTTACCTCATATTCCAGTGCACATGTAAGATGTAAAGGTAGCTATAACCTCAGGGCTGATCAAAATACTTTTTTTTTTTTCTTCTTCTCCTTCTGTATCAGCAGCTACAGTGAGCATCTGTTCGGCAATGTGTTTGGCTTGTTCACCCATAGTCCTGGCGTGCTATGAGCAGCAAAAAGCAGGAGAGGAGCACAGTATGCAGCACCTCAGTGAAGTACTCTTCTGCTCTACAGATGACTTGCAAGGAGTCAACTTGAAATCTAGTTTCTCACCTCGATCATTAGCACAGCACCTTCTGCTTCTCTGAATATTCCTTAGTACAACAAATAAAACACAATAATTATAACGTCAATAGTGCTTTGCATTGAAGGATTTCAAAGTGCTTCTCAAATAATTACTACCCCCATGTGCTGAGTTAGGTAAGTGCTCTAACAATACTTTGACCAGCAAGTCCTAATTCCCAATTGCCATTTAAATGTGCCCTGCAACCATTTGGAACTATGCTGGCATCTAGGAGAGGCTGCAAATCATTCTGCTTCAAAAGCACACGACCCTTAACACTGGCACTAACATAGAATTTCTGTTGGTCAAAAAAGGCCTCTAAGACACATCAGAGCAGTTCTGGTTCCACCACTAGATTCAAAGAGGGGAACATTTCAAAGGCCACGTTACTTAAAAAATGTCAGACTTTATGGTTCAGGGTAGGGGGTTCATTTCTCTTATTTTATTTGTCAACTAATTTTCCAGGGGCAGAAATAGGAGGGAAAGTTTTTTAAAATGGTTTTTGAAGAAAGTGGGAAAACAAACCAAAAACATTTGTAAAGAGAAAAAGAACAATTTTCTTTAGCTTTCTTTTGGCTTTAATTTTAAAAATGAAATTTCAGTCCAAAGTTTCATTTTAGTCAAAACTTCAGCTTTCATTTTAAAAAGTCTTTAGGCGAAAAATCTTTTGGCAAGTACTAGTTTACACACACTTTGAGTTCCCAGTTAACTGAAACCTTTCAGTAGCTGAATGAGTTAAAATGGATGCACTCCCTAACCTGAGCACTCTTATTTTGCATCAGGAGTGCTCTTTTTCAATGTTATTTAAGTCACATTCCTTATTGACTTAAACAAAATCAATATAAAATCACTCAATCCAAAATAAGAGTGTTTACATTTAGGGTTGCCAGATGGTTTCAACAAAAATACCAGACATGCTTGACATTACATCACAATCTACATTACATCTTATTTAGAAAATATCGGACATTTATATTTTCTCAATTTGTTTCCTGAACAGAAAGCTCAGATATTGGACTGTCCGGTTCAAAACCAGACACCTGGCAACTATTTACATAATGATGCCACAGTAACAAAGAAACAGACTCAGGTAAGCCAGGGCTCAAACTGTGTGTAGCTAAGGCCTCATTAGCCACGGGAATGAGAATATACGAACTAATTCCACAAAGGTATTTAGACTCCTAAACTCCTTTGAAATCTATAGAAGTTAGGAACCTAGATAGCTCTGTGGACCTCGGCCTATGGTTTTATATCTGTACTCCATCTTCTTCCCCCACTTCCTCTCTTTTCCCACAGGGAGCATTTGCAAGGAATAGTGATTGCTTTATGCCCTTGTACTACTCTGATTCCAGCCCTGTTTCTCAATCTCTGTCTCCCCTGGGAACTATTATTACCATTTTTCTCAGCCCCACCCCCAGCCTGCCCTTTCCTTTCACTATTTAATTTCCCCGACTTTGATCTTCTAATTGTCTATTTCCCGCTCTAGACCATTACTTCCCTGTGTGCTGGCTGCTGTCCCGTGACTGCTTTCTTTTCATAGCTTACTTTAAAATGTAAACATGAAATGGCACCCAGGAGCATGGATTTAAATTATGAGACTATATGAACTAGGAAGGTGGTGAGATGCAGGCAGGGGTGGCTGTGATAAAAAGCATTTGCAGAAAACAGTTACCTAGCCTGACAGACTTCCTATTTAGCTGATTTTGTAGTTTTTGGTGTCAGGGGCAGTAATTAGATAGACATGGTTCTAACCCTTCAGTCCGTGTTCCCACTAAGGCCATTTCTTCTGCAACTGTACAGGATCTTGCAGCATCCACTCCACAGAGTCACATGACAATGTCTTCTGTGAGAAGGCACATCAGGCGCATGCAGCCTGCGTAGAACGGCTGTGTAATAGGACTCTGAGAAGTAACCAAGAGACTCCACCTGACAAACAGAAAATCCACTCACACTGGCATCATCTACGTACACGCAAGAGCTGTGGGATCCACAGAGAGGGAAAGGATTGATTGATTTACCACTGATGTCATCATCCCACTGGGAAGGAAAGATCAGGTGCAGGGTAATGATTGGCCTGTCACAATTCAGTACTACCCAGCATTATTCATAGTATATAAAGCAACAGCAAAGACAACAGGAAAAATGGCCAGAAGAGTCAGGGGAAAGAAGAGAGAAGGCAAAGTGAAGGTAGAGGAAGAAAAGGATGCAGAGCAGCAACACTGATAGCTAGCTCATGTTCATAGTAGGACAATCCAGGGCAGGGCTACTCAATATGTGGCCCATGGGCCGCATGCGGTCCATGGGCCATTTCTTTGCAGCCCGCGGTGTGGTTTTGGTTTATGCAGGGCTCAACACGTGGCCCACGGGTGGGAGCCAAAACAAAAAAGTAGCCAATATAATGGTCGTCTGTTGATATGCCTTTTAGTAGTTAAATTCCTGGACTGTCGTTCCTCATTAAAAGTGCTGTCATATAGGTGGAAATTGGGTAAATATTGCATTTTATTAATATCAGTGGAACTGACTTAAATGGGGCCTGTGTGTTGTGTAGTCTTGCCTTAAGATTTGTATTCATGCCCGTCAGTGTGAAAGAAGCTATTTGCATGTACATGCATCCACACTTAAATTATGGCCCGCGGCATGTGCTATGAGTATCATTGTGGCCCTTGGGGCTTTCAAAGATGAGTCCAGGGGCAAGATTCTTTCCATAAGATCTACCTGCATCACAGCTGCACAGAATATGGGGCAAGCCAGACAAACAGTTCGTGGCTGCCATGCAGAAATTGCACTGGAGAAAGGTGCCTGGGAACATGCCTCCAATGCTGGGAAGGTTCCCACAGCCGAAATGGAAATGGAATCCATGTAACGCAGAGCGGGACCAACCAAGGTTGGAGAGCTCTGCTCTCCTGAGAGATCCTTTCCCCTCCAAGCTCATTCCCACAATTTAGAGGGGAGAAAAAAATCCAAAATTGCAATGCAAATTATTCACTATCATTTTTATAGCAGCATCTGCTCACTTGGGTCTCTTCCCTCACCTCTCATCTGTGAGTTGCCTGTGAGATGTAGTCACATGCTGTTCCTTGATTGCTCCTGGATAGTGGCCTTGCCCCTCCATGGCCCACTTTCTCCTTCCTAGATGCTGCCAAAAAGCAGTTTCCCAGAATGTTTCTTCCCCAGCAGGAAAAGCAGATGAGAGTCCTTTTGACCTGGGGGCCCTAGGGAACTGTTAACCCTATGGATTTCAATAGAAGTCAAATTAAGAACATATAAACATAGAAACCTCCACAGAGGTGCTGCTAGCCCATTGGGAGCCTTAATCAGGAGTATTTTTGCCCACCTCCCATACTAAAACAGGCACGTTCTTACAATAAAAAGCACATAAGGGGGCCCTCCTGAGCTGTTTGGGGCACTAGGCAAATACTTATGCCTAGCTCCGGCTCTGCCCTCCATGGCATGATTTGGTTGCTGTGGAAACAATCATGTCACAAGGAGAAGACTGATGCTTCTAGTAAAGTAAGCAACCGCAAGGCTAGATGATGATAACAATAATAATCCTTAGCCTCTTTCAAGCCTCTTACATAGACTATGAGCTCAACAATGGAAATGGGTCAAACTATTTTCATCAAAACTTTTTCACTGAAAAAAGGGTGGGGGGGCTCCAAAGGCAATTTTTTGTGGAAAATTTCATTGTCATTGAAATGTTGGTGCTTTGTGGAAGAAATTTCAAATGAATGGTTAAAAACTCTATTTTGGGTTCAAAATAGCAAAGCAAAATTCTTGCACACTTTTTAGGTGCCCTTCTTTTTCTAGTGGGAAGTTTTTTAATGTGAGAGAATGGAAGGAATAACAGAAATATTCAAAAAAAGTGTAGTGTTTTGAACATGTGTGACCCGAGCTGTCGAATAATGTCATGACAGTTTTGAAAGAAAATAGAAAAATATTCTTTAAAAAAATATTTTTTCACAAAACTTCCCCTAGTCTTCAGCCAGCTCTGCTCAGCAACCTTGCAGAACAGGTGGGACAAGGAGAGATTAATCAATAGTGATGTGTTGCAACCGCACAAGACAGCAGCTGTTTAAAATCACAGAGAGGCACAACAGTTGTGTAACTTTATTAGAAAACAGCACTATTACCATGTGTTTTAAGATCGGTTTATCTGAAGATACAGGATTAAAATAGCATTTCATCTGGCTCGATCAGCTGTCTATCTAAATCTCTGCCTAAGAATTATTTTTTTTAGGTAGAGCTTCTGCCTATAGGTTACACCTTTACAAGCAAACAAAAGCATTGTACAGATGCTAACATTTACAGGCATGACTCTTTGTTGCCATGAACTGCATTGTAGTCATTTACACACCAGAGAAAAGTGAGTGTAAAATGCCAACATTTAACACTCATTTTGCACTTGTGTAAATCACTACAAAGGTTCAGGGCAACAAGGAAATAGTAAGGTTATGTCTACAGTGGCTACAGCAGCACATCTATTGCGCTACTGTGGTGTAGACACATCTTATATCAATGGAAGAAATGTATTCATTGGCATAGGTAATCCACCTCTCAGGCTACGTCTAGACTGCAGGCTTCTTTCAGAAGAAGCTTTTTTTCGGAAGAGATCTTCAGCCAGGGCTTTAGGTCACCAGTTGCTACTGAGTGCTGGTGCCGGAGCCTTGCAAAGACATGCACTTAAAGGGACACCCCGGACAGACGTTTCTCTGCTTCTGCTGTGTGCCTGCCTACATCTTCGAGGGACAGCAAAGCTCTCACAGTGCCTGCTGTGGTTGCCTTGCTTTTTTGGATGCCACAGCTTTTCTCTTGGTGCCATGGAGCCAGAGCTGCCCTCGGCATGTGATGGCCCCACACAGCCATGCTGCAGTTTTTGCAGCACTTTGTGCCAGCTGCCATCCTGGTCCTGCATGAGCTCAACTCCAAGCTCATTCTTGGGACCCTCTTCTTGGGTAGGGGAGCTGTACTCTGGCAACTGTACCGTATAGTGGAGAGGCATTTTTGGAGGCTGGACACCAGTTTGGACTGGTGGGACCAACTGGTCATGGAATGGCGGGATGACCAGCAGTGGCTCCAAAACTTCTGCATGTGGAAGGCCACCTTTTTGGAGCTGCGCACCTAGCTCACCCCACCCGTTGGAGATGCAACACCCACTTGCAGCCCACCATCCCCCTGGAGCAGCAGGTCGTGATCGCTGTCTGGAAGCTCATCACCCCCAACAGGTACCAGTCAGTAGGCAAACTGTTTGGCGTGGGGAAGTCCACCTTTGGGGCCTTCCTCATGGAGGTAAGGCATTCCGGGGCTGCAGTCCCTGCGGAGGAGGGAGGGAAGGGGGAAGGGAGGAAGTCCTGGAAAAGGGAAGCCCTTGGGAAAGAGGGTTTGGGGACTGTGGGGGTGAAGTGGGGATGGGGGGAAGCCTTGTCCCCAGTGTGGCCCCAGGGGTGTTTAGGGGAGGGGAGGAGAGGAGAGGGGGGCAGGTACCTCCCAATGGCTCAGGCACTCCCTCTCTCATTCTCTGTTTTGTGTGTTTGTTTGTCTCCTTCTGCAAATTGTGAAGGCCATCAACTCGATCCTGCTGTGGAGGGTCATCCGCCTGGGAGACCTGGAACCAATTGTGGCTAAATTGGTTGCTCTGGGGTTCCCAAACTGCACTGGAGCCATAGATGGGACCCACATACCAATCCATGCACTGGAGCATCGAGTGGACCAGTATATTAATAGGAAGGGCTACTTCTCCATGGTGCTGTAGGCCCTGGTTGACCACTGTGGACACTTTACAGACATTTTTGTGGGGTGGTCAGGCAGGGCACACGCTGCCCGCATATTTCGGAACTCTAGCCTGTATCGAAAGCTACACATTCTTCACCCGCCGTGAACTAGCAGTTGGGGATCTGCTGATGCCATTGTGCATGATGGGGAATGCGGTTTACACCCTGATGCCATGACACCTGAACCCCAGCAGGGACCAATTTAATGCCTGCCCGAACCAGGCCAGTATCCAGGTCAAGTGTGCCATCAGCTGCCTCAAGGCATGATTCAGGTGGAAGCTGACCCACCTGGTGGGAGCATGTTGTGTCCTCCACAACATTGTGGAGAGAAAGGGGGAAGCCTTCCTCCCGGAGTGGGGGGCAGATGCTGGCAGTGCGAGGCAAGCCTTCGAGCAGCCACGGACAGCTGCCATCTGCCAGGCCCATCAGGGCAGGGTGCACATCTGGGAGGCCCTGAGAGAGAGGTTCTTTCAAGGACCCCAGTAAGTCTCCCTGGGGCCTCTCCAAAAGGGGCCTGTGGCTTGCTGCCCCATCCCTTTCCCAACACAAACTCTCCCTTTACCCCTTCCCTGACCTCTCAATAAAAAGCACTTCTCAGGCTGCTCCCTGAGAAGGCTAGGGGGTTTGTCTAGAAAATAGAGGGCACCATGTCGGTGTAAGTGGCAACAAATCAGAAGATCCTTGAGTGAGGACAGAGAGACTGGGCGAGGCTGCGAGATTGGCCCATGCATAGGCTCAGACAAGAGGATTGGTGAGCAGACTAGATTGTTTAACTGAGAGTTACCAAGCACTTACCAATATGGACTTGCCAAACACTTCAGTATAGTGTGCGGGGAAAAACCTTCCTGGTGGAATGAGTCTAGAAGAGCTGGGATGGATAGCTAGCAGCAGGACTGAGGTTGTGTTCTCTCTGAGCCAGAGATAGCAGAGTGCTGCTCTCAGGCCGGCTTCCTGCCACAAGTCTTGTCCAGGGTGCCTGCAGTTTTAAGAGCTGGCAGGAGACAGGAACTATAGAGCTGTGATTAGTATGGACGGAGTGTCCACCAGGGCACCTGTTTTATTTCCTGGAGTCCTCTTCTTTCGAAAGAAAACCCTGCTCCCCGTCCACACACGCTGTTTTCTGAAAAAGCTCTTTCCAAAAAAGGCTTCTTCCTCACAGAAAGAGTACTAATGCCGGAAACACCCCTCTGTTCTTTTGATTTACTTTTGAAAGAACATGATTACAGTGTGGACCTACCTCAGGTTTTGTCAGAAGAACAGCCATTTTTCCAACAAAACTCTGTAGCATAGACATACCCAGAGGCAGCAGCTGGGTCAACAGAAAAATTCCTCTGATCTAGCTGCATCTACAATTGGGGGTTCAGCACACAAAGCATGTATTTTTTTTGACAGCCCTGAACAATGCTGCTAGGTTGACCTAAGTTTTAAGTGTAGACCAGTCTTCAGTTTAAGACAGGATGGATGTAATCAATAGGGTTAGAACTGGGCCAGACCAGGACATTAGGGTTAACTATTGTCCTCTTCCAAAAAGTGCTGTGGAATCTTCACATTGAAGTCAGTCCAGATCTCATATTTTACATATTAGCCAAATCCAGTCTATTCAGTGCTGCAACATCCTCTAGCACAGTGGTCTCCAACCTTTTTAACCACAAGATCACTTTTCCAATTTAAGGGCAATGTAAGAGCTACCTCAGACCCAAATACTCTTGTCCCATTTCCTTCCTGCCCCTTTTCCAAGGCCCTGATGCAGATCCGGCCCTTCTCTGAGGCCTCCCCCTGCTCACTCCATGCTCCTTCCTCCCCCATCCCCACTCACTTTCACCAAGCTGGAGTAGAGAGTTGGGGTGCAGGCTCTCGTCTTGGGCCTAGGGGTTTGGGGAGGGGACTACAGGCTTAATGCAGGGTGTGGGATTGGGGTCCAGGAGGGGTTCAGGGTGCAAGCTCTGGGTAGGACAGGGGTTCAGGAAGCAGGCTCTGTCTGGGTACTGCTTAACTGAGATGGCTTTTGGGTGGTGGAGCAGTGGGGTTAAGACAGGCTTACTCCTGCCCTGGCCCTGCACCACTCCTGAAAGCAGCTGGCATGTACAGCAATGGCTCCACAGCTCCATGTGCTACTTGTCATCTACAGGCACTGAGCCCACAGCTTCTACTGGCCACAGTTCCCGGTTACTGGTCATTGGGAGCTGC